TCTGAAGGGGGAAAAACAACTTGCTGAAGCGGAAACAATTTGCACTGGGTTGAACCCAGACTGGCCTGTTCCCTTCCTTAGTAAACGATAAACCAAAACTAACTAAAGCATCGGCTCACGCTTCAAACAGAAGGGACTCAACACAGTCGCTCTCATGCAACCCATCCCTTACGAAAAAGCAATCGGCAAAACAGGATCCTTTTTTTTCAATAAACGGCTGAAGCCAGTAGGCCCCAAATTCTGGAGAATCGCACTCAACCAGTGCAGACCTTTTGCGAGCCGCCCGAGGGCAAAATATAGACCCGAGGGCAAAATTTTGATGAACATTCAAAGATGTTGTGAGCCACCCGGCGGTAGAATTTAGAGGAAGGTGCCATTCCAACGGCGCATACCTTTTGTGAACGACTCGACTTTAGGATTTAGAGGAAGAAGGTGGCAATCCAACAGCGCAGACTTCTTGTGAGCCGCTCGAGGGTTAAGAGTTAATGAAGAAGATGCCATTCCAATGGCACGGAACTTTTGTAAGCCACCCGGAGAGTAACATTTTGAAGACGAAGGTGTCATTCCAACGGTGCAGACCTTTTGCGAGCTACCCGAGGGAAAAATAATTGACTGAACATTTAGATGAGAAAGGTGTCTTTTGTGAGATTTTGTGAGCCACCCGAGGGTAAAATTTTTAGGAAACTGCAATTCTAAGATAGCAGACCTCTTGTGAGCCACCCGAGCTTAAAGGTTAGATGAGGAAGGTGCCACTCCAATGCAGCAACATGCCTGTGTGAGCAAGTGAGTCGCTGCGGATACGCAAGTGAGGTGATTTTTGCGTAGGCAAGTGATACCCGTGCCTCCGCTGACAATGGTTTTGACGTTGCCGGCGTGTCATTTGACGACGCTGGCTCCATTATCCTGCTGACCACTTTGCGGCTCTCTCACCATCATGACTCCCATTTTCATCATCGATCGCTATTGAAAGGGTTCAGCGCCATGAGGCCAATGAAAGAGTAACAATGCAAAAACACTCCCTGCGCTGTAGTCCCAAAATTGTCTTGAGCCGAACATTGAGACGCCTAGTTGAGAAACGCTGCTTCCCCCTAGAATTTCAACTTAGGGTCACAGAAACATCTAAACTGCTTCACAACTTCAAAACCACTTCAGACTGACCGATTGCGCCCAAAGCATGTTCTGCCAGGCGAGCTGGAGAAGAGGCGGAGGCACTCTCAGCAGTCTCCGGCCTCATAGTTCCGGGCTGTCTCAAAAGGAACTTATAAAGACTGTCCATGAAACCATGAGAGTCCGACAGGCCATGTTTTATTCAGGGTCAGGAAGGGGAGTGGAACTCACTTGACCAATCCTTGGTTTAGATATTTTCAACAGTCTTCTCAGACTCTCGAGCATCACTAGACGTCAAATTGGCTGACAAATTGTCCAAGGCTGCTAATTCAAACATTGATTCCTGTCTTTCTGCACCCACGGCTAGGTCTGAGAAGCTGGCCCCTTGAAGTAATTCAGCAATCGTTGGCACAAGCGGCAGCAGCATGTCCTTGAATAGCATGTTGATTCCCAACCCATCTCTTCCTAGATGTGTGTGTGTGTGCCCCTTTAAAGGAGGAGATAATTGGGGCCAGATGAGTGGTCAGTAATAACAGCAATAGAACACGGCCCGTGATATTTCGAGGTGGCTTGCCGTTGAATCCAAACAACGACATGGGACTGGTCAGGATTTGACAAGTGAAAGAGTGGAAAAAACATTGACTTGACTCCTTGTGATCAAATTTAAAATCCTAAATCTATGCTATTTAACCAACTGGCCCACCTACCAATCATTTCCCAAGCTTCTTCAGTCCAGTCCTGGTTTTCACAATTTGAAGCGGCCCGGACGACGATGAAGACGATGAAGCATTGCTGGTGAAAAGAACTGAGCGCGGCCATTGTGGGAGCTGCTGGAGAGGAACTTGACTCTGTCCAACTACATTGGTGAAGAGAAGCCAAAACGTAGAGTGATCCAATGCTGACTAGATTGTGATCCAGAACGGCCTGTGAACACTCCTGGTGCCAAAGCAGAATGCACAAGGCACATATGGGGCAAACCCCTTGCAGCTCTTGTTGCAGAGCGCGCAACTCTTCCTTTTTCCTTCCGCTGTCCCAAGACGCAGAAGCAAGTCGCTCTTCCTGTGTGTGGATGAAGGGCAATGCGGTGCCAATATAATGAAGGTCGATCAGATTAGATCTAATAACTATAACCGTACCCTCCTTTGTTCGTTGTTGAATGGTTTTGTCTTCAGCTGTCTTAAAGTTGACTACCTGTGTTATTGTGCATTCCCCCAGATTCCCAAGTTGCAAGAGAGGTGACTCAAGCAACCCAGAACAAGTGGAGACAGCCCACCGCATGGGGGGTACCTTAAGAAAAGAATCTTGGGTACCAACTAGTTCCCGGAATCTTTTTTGGTGGATTCATTTTTTGGGATTCTTTTTGTGCAAGGGGTAGGGTCAGGGTATGTCTGGGGTGGGGTCAGATTCTTTATTGAATGTTGGAGGATTGTAGAGTATATGATACATTCACATTGAAGCTACTTAATGTTTTAATGATGAATTTGTTCTTTGCTCAAACCAAGTCTTTGAAATGGGATGATCTTCAGCAACGGGATTGCCACGTCACAGATTGAAGAGCGATGGCCTCCAACATCCTTCAACCTAATAGGGTGGGGTTGAACTACCAGGTATGCAGGAATCTATAGGAATCTTATTTAAATATTCCATATGTCAATTCACACGCAGATTCTTTTGGAGTAAATACGTGCAGGCATTGCAGAATATGTTGGAAAAGAATCGGGTCCCACCGCTCCTGAACAGCCTGAAGAGAATCGATTGAGCAAGATAGGAGTAAGAAACCTTTCCCAGAAGTAAGAACACCTCACGCGTAACCAGTTTAGGGAATCACGCCAGAATAGACCCCCCAAAAAATAGCTAAACTATATTAGTGGGCAGCCGCGGGACGCTGCAGCGGCACCAGCACCCAAGCTCCAAAGCGTACACGGCCGTGGACATCTCGCAGCAGTGCCCTGGAGTGGCGCCCTGCAACGGCAGCAGCACCCAGGCTCCAAAACGCGCACAAGCACTGCTTCCTTTGCTTGAAGTGAGAGCCCCCAATAGCTCTCGCTGAAAAACAGACAGCAATTTTGTTACAAGAGCCTTGGCTTACCAACTTGGTGGCATTTTTAATTCTATAAAACTGTCATACAGACTCATACAGTCGTACCACTTTCAATTTGCCTCGATCCTTGTTGGCATACATAGCCGCCAATCGTGCCGCAGCCGGCTTGGGGTGCATCAGTCGACTTCGATCTCCGCTGAGGTCCATTTCCTTTTCGTCCTCAAAGAACTAACTTGCACACCAAATGGTTAAATCCAAAAACCATCTACAGCTCCTTGTTGACATGCAGAACATGCAGGTGGTTCTTTTCACTGGGAAATGATACTTAAGAACTTAACCAGTTGCTATAGTTACTATATTTAGAGAGCCTGCACCATACGGGCAATGCATCATGACATACACCAGGACATCTCACTTGCCTGTCAAAGCTGCGATAGTTTCAAAAGTCGCAGCCGCACACTGATTTGGGAGGATTTGGGGGATTTTGAGGATCTCGTGCTCAAGTAGAGATCAGGATTGGTTGGATACGGTTGGTTAGATCCAGGTTCATCTGGCCTGTGCATTGCAGCTTATCTGCCGGTCTGCTGGATGTCCGTCTCAATGTGCAAAGAGCTTGTCATGCATGAGCAAGCTACAAGTCAAAAGAACACGATTTGCTCTTCCACGAAGGATTGCCAAACTCTACTATCCACCAATACTCGGTCAAAATTTTCACTGCCCGTGTCAGCACCTATTCGGATACAAGGGGCCGGTGAACCTTGACATTGGTGTTGGAGAGTGAAAACTCTGTGATTTTTAACAACAACTCACAGCAAATTTGAAAGGAACAAACTAGCTATGATGATAATTATGGAATATTATGGATAAAAACAAGTAACTATAAACAATCTTGATCTGGGTAGTGCAGAATAGAAGGAGGTTGAACCCATGGTGGTCGCCAGATCGCAAATCACCGAGGGGTGCGCGCGCCGTGCGCCCATGGGTCCCTAGGCCCTAGGCAGCCATTGCTTCCGAAAATAGCATGGACTGTTCTTTCTAGGCGGCCTCTTCCGCCACACATCCATTGAAACGTCAGGGGGCAAGGAATCATTCCTCTAGCACTTGCGGGGGGGCCATCCCTGGCTCATGGTTGTTGAAACAGATGATGCGCTCGAGCATGCGCCCCACGCGCTGCCCTGTGCGTTTTCAGCACCGGGTTCTCCTGGTTTTTTGTAGAACATCCAAGCTGAAAGGGGTTCTCACCCAGGGAAGCCCTGGTGTGCAACCTGTGCCATTTCCGGATTGCTTGTGGGGACACCCCAGCCCCTATACTGTACGAGAAAGCAACTGCATCAATGAAAATGGAGTAAACCACGAGATACTGTGCACGACTGTGCAGACTGAATCACTAATCAGCATCCACGTTGTTGACATCAATTGGATTTCTCGATATTTGTGAAATTGCTATTGTTCAGCTGAAGACAGAGAAAAGACTTTGGCTGGCGTCACTGTCGATGAGTACTGCAACAATGCTGAACTCATGGCTCAAGAGAACACTGGAGAAGCAACCAAGGCATGAAATGCATTGCAACATCAACTATATATTATGCTGATATGGATATATCAACTGCTAGATAATTGTCCGCACCCAAAATTCTCAAGGGGCTCGCAATTCCAAATTTGTCGTCGCTAGATTTTATTTGCGTGAACACATTAATAACGCATTGCTTGTACATGCTTGTACTTTAGTCTTCACATTTACGAGACAAGTTAATGCAAAGCTAATCTCTGTCGGCAGGATTGGAGGCAGAACAGCAAGCAGTCCGGCCGCAATCCATAAACACAATTACTAGATGCACATCAATATTGCAACATCCAGAGCTAGCCTTGTGAAAGTGCGTTAGCTGCTGAAGACCTGCTGCGAGCTCTGCCGCTGGACCTGGTTTTGAAAACGTGTCACTACAGGTTTGTTTATGAATTTCGTGACGTTTTGAGGCGTTGCTTTCGTGCAGACAGTAGCAAATAAGTGTTCGATAAGGTGGAAGTCAATGCTCCAGAGTTAATGCTTTTGCACCTGTGAAAGCAAGCCCACTTCCATTGTCATGGCATGGCCATGGGGCCAATGGCGGCCAATGCTGATCAAGTAACCGGGATCCCAGTCGGGACCCCTTAATCCCTGGTAGGAACCCACCTAGCGACCCACCTCGTAGTCTATTCTGTTCAACCAGGGTGTCCCGGTTTTGATCCACAGCCACTTCTCAAAAGAGACGCCATGAGATGCCTCGTCGTCTCGTATCGACCGTGGATGCCCAGGGCCTCGATCTCGGCCCGCCACATGATTCGCCTGGCTTGGGCCGCTCGGCACCGGCTAAGCCAGCTTTGTCCACCGGCTAAGCCACAGCATGAGAGATTGTGTGAGGCTTCAAGTTTGGGAAGAAACAAATGATTGTATGCCAGCACTACTACAAATTTGATCGAATTTAAGTCCAAACAAAAGACGGAAGTATCAAAGCACACAACACACAGAACTCCAAAACAAAGCTCAAACTTCTGTAAACATGTGTGACGACTCATTTACCTCGTAGAAATATTGCACGAGCTGTAGCGGCGGGGTTCCAGTTTTCAAAACGGACACACCCTGAGCCTTTGGAACAGTTTTGAAGCGGAAGACTATGTGGCATGAGTTTGGGGCTTGTGATAACTCAGCCAGCGCCCTAGTGGCCTGTCTATGCTGGATGTTGCCGGTGGCCGGTGGCACACTAAAAGCATTTGCTGGTGATCAGAGATTTGAATGCTTTGTTTTCCGCCACAGCCCAGGGCTTGGAAATTCACAGACTCAGGTGATAACATTGACCAACAACAGTTGGTGAATGTATTGCGGACCTGCTCAGGAGGTCTTTTGTTAAAATCCAGCTGTGGAGTTTTTGGTTTGTCTATTTACTTGTTTATACTAGTCATTGCTTGCCTGTCTCCGCAAATTTGCACACCTCTACCTTTCGCTACTTTTCCGGAGAAGCCGCTGCTTTGATACCCTTCTCTAGAAATGTCCAAAATCTCTACTACTGTTCTGTGTTTGCCTATAGAAGCTCTACACACTACATTTTGCGCTCTTCTCATGACGTCTTCACTTTCCTGTGTTCGATTTGTACTTTCTCTAATTTCCTTTGAGGTCTTTGTTACTTATTTTACGTTTTGGCTATTTTTCTCTGTGGAAAACACATTTGCCTTTCTTTCCCTGGCCTTCCTGTAGAAATCTCCGCATTTTTGTGCTTGTCTATAGTATATAGGAACCTCTAAATCCACAGTCTTGCACTTTTCTCTAGAATTCTTGTATACTGTATATATATATGTGTGTGTGTGTCCACCCCTGGACAAAGGGTTTTCCACCACCACCTTTCGCAAGCAGGGGGATGGAGAGGACACGTGGGGCTCCATCCAACGAAGCTCCTCACGTGCTCCTAGGATATCATCAGGGACGCCTGATGACGTACCTGCGCCGTGACACTACTCCACTCTTCCTTGCTGTGTTTTGATGCCATGGTTGTTTGATCACGATACTCTCCCCTCAAACAGGTTTCCCACTGCAGTCCTCAGCCACCGGAGAGTTACAGTCAGCCGCTTGTGCGAGTGAAACTTTTTTCAACAATTCAAGTCTTTGGACCTTTTCGCCTTGCTGTTCCATCACCTTCCTTCCCAACGTGTTACTTGCATTAACTGAAAAAATCCAAGTTCGAAGTTCGAAGTGTGTTTCATGTTTTTCACTACAGGCCCTTACGTTTGATAATTCCCTCTAACAAAACAGTGTGTGTTCATGTTTGTTTGCACTTGGTCTTCAGACATCTAGTTCTTATCCCTTTCCTCTAGAATCTAGAAGCCTTTGTCTTTTTCTTTTCGACTTTTTTGCACTTTTCAACTGGTACATGTTTCGAGAAGACATTGTTTTCACAATCTACTGCACTTTCTCTCAAGACACCTTTTTGAGGCTTCATATGAAACAGTTGGCTTTTCTTTGTGTGCCTCTGGAAATATAATGAAATATGTTCTTTTCTGCTATTGTTTGTCTCCGAATCTCGACACATCCGCACTTTTCTCCAGCTGCCATAAACCCTTACCTTTCTACACCTTTCTATGGAGTCATTAGTGTTCTTTTCAGTGCTTTCCTTTGCGCGCCTATGTTTTTCGGTATTGTTCTCCGAAGATATCTACTTGTTGTACCTGTTTATAGAATTCTCTAGTTTTCTGTGCTTCATCACATCCCCCCAACGACAGCGTCAGCCCCTTCTGCACTGAGGCAGCCCTTCCCTTACAATTCGCATCCATTCCGTTCCATTAAACAATGAAACTGCGTTTCCATGAAACCAGCCGAAGACTTGTGACCCGCACACCATCACCGCAACCTGCACAAAAACCATCCCCAGAACCGTTGCGCAGCCTAATAGCAATGGCCTCCAACCTAGTAGCGATGGCCTCCAACCTAAAGAAGCTTCCCTGAAGCACGTTAAGCACCCTTGAAGATCAAGAACTTGTTCCCATTAAAAAATCATGGCGAGGCATGGCCAGCACTGCCCATTCTCTTGGCCGCAGATGAAGAGCTTCCACAGCTGCCGGGCTCCCAGGGATAATTTGGTAGCGTCCTTGTTCCCAGTAGTAAGGCCAGGAGCCCCTAGTAGCGTCCTTGCTCCCAGTAGCGATGCCAGGAGCCCCTAGTAGCGTCCTTGCTCCTAGTAGCGATGCCAGGAGCCCCTAGTAGCTTCTTGCTCCTAGTAGCGAGAAAATGCTTGCATGTGTGCAAAGGATTCTTTGCAAGTAGGAAGGGGTACGCAAGAAGCTGGTGCCTACGAATGTACATCCTGTGGCAGGATACACTGCTTCAATTGCATGATACTGCTGAATATCGTTTTGAAGCACAGAATGATTCTGACCACTGAAAGGTTGTTTTACTGCATCTTACCGCAAGAGGTTGTGCTTGTGGCTTGTGGTGGTCAAACCTTCAATCTACAGTAGGAGCCAGATCATTAGTGCGAGCGCTTCTTCAAGGAAGCTTCCCCCCGCCGCCTAAGTAGTAGCTACTTAAGCTACTAGCTCCCTACCTCTAGCGGCCTACCCCGCCGGGCAAAAAGAACATATATATAACTATATATATACACGATTATACACGTGTTTGTGTTTTTCTTGTTTGCAACAAATATATTGGTTCTGACCTTCACAGTCTCCTGTGTACAACCACTTGCGGCAAGCCCCTCTTCAACATACCCAATTGATTTGTTTATTCCCATGTCTCGTGAATGTCTAGACACTAGAACACGGGCAAACAACATATTTTTCAGGCAAAATTGTTGGCAATTTTTTTCTCTTAGCACATCCAGGATAATGAATTCTATTGCCCATGTCCGTGCTCATGTCTTGACGTCCCAAAAAGACATAAGAGAAGCAGACTGAGGGCATCCATGAAATCCCATGAGTATCAATTAGTCTTTAAAGGTTTATATTTTACCGTGCGACCACAACTGGTTGCACGGCTCGCAGGGCTTTACTCCACGAATGTTCGTGGATCCACCAGAGCTTTTAATCTATAGAGTCAGAAAAGGAGGACCAGAATAGTGAAATGCAGTAGTTTGTTTGTCGACCTCATTCATTGACTTGTCTCGTCGGTCCTCTTAGTAAGCCAACACCCAAATATTCAATGTTGTTCTTTGGCAGGCCTTGGAGCCCGGAACCACCAAGGCAGGCAGAACCGCATCCAACTCTTGTTCACACCAGACCATCTTTGAGCGTCACGAGACACATCACAGCGAGACTACGGGGTCCACAGCTCTGAACACCTGCAGTATCTCCATGTTTTGAGATATGTTTAAGTTGGCTCAGTGAGCTCAGGGCTTGCCCCAGTGTCTCTATTTGAGTGTGAATCATAGCGATGGCCTGCAACCTACCGATGGCCTCCGTACTAATAGCGTATTTGGCAGGTACAGGGTTCCGGTGAAGAGCCTCCTGACCAAACAGACCTTGCCGATGTCTCAGCGTGAGCATGCGGATGAGCAAGCGGGTCAGGGTCAAAACAAGGATCCTTGCGTCGTGAAAGAGGTTTGAATGTTACAACAGATTTCGATTCACTGAGGAGCAGCAAGTTCGATTGGTAAATGATTGGTGATTATTTTTCTTTTAAGTTCATGCTGGAAATAAATCCATGGATCCTTGTGAAGTGGGGTGTCTCAAAATTGCACACACTTTGGATCGCGTGCTTGTGTACTCCAAAGCTTCGCCGGATATGCGGAATGTGCGACGACCAGTGCTGCTTCTGGCTTTTTTATACTCTATAGTTCGAAAGTCCTCATTCAAGAGCACAGAGGACTGGCACACGACTGCCTGGTTGGGTTGCAAATCCATAAGGTCCATTGAATTTGTTGAATCATCGTTTGGTTGGCTGTTCAGATGTGTTCAGCATAGTTCAACCATGTTCAATTGTTTTGTTTCCGCTGCATCATGTAACGCGATTGCCTTGTGACTTCGTTGCTTGCTCATCTTCGATTCCACATGGGACTGCTTCAGGGGAAAGGCTTTTCTTCTTACGGGGTCTTATAACATCTATGGATCAGCGGCCACGGCGGATTTAAGAAGTCCATGTCGATTATCACCCGCTTTTGATTTTATGCCAATTGCTTTGGAGGGGGGGAAATCGACCGTGTAAGGTAACACAAGTGTCTTGCAGGATTTTTTAGGGGAAAGCGTTGACGATTTGGATCCTTCAAGATCCTAGTGGATCCTAGTGGTGTATTCTCGAGTGGCCAGGTCCCTTTACCCATCGGACTCACCCGCCGGGTTGCCCAGGAACTTTCAATGTTCATGCAACACATTTCCTTGGCCTCAGGGTGACCAGTTCTTTGTTTGCTTCATACTGCCTTTTGTTGAATTTGTGCGTGTGGTGTGTGTTTATGCGTTGCATGTTGTTTTCTCTACGATATATAGCGGACCCATGGAACTGCCTGCATTGCATCCACTGCATTGCTCTCATAGACATACATTTGATTGCGATTGACTAGTTTTTTGCACGTGACGTACTGCTCCCCCGAGTTTCAGGAAGGGTGCACATGTCAACATGTTTTTATGTGGGGCTGCGCGAGGGCGTCCTTGATTGCAACAACTCTTCAATGTTGTATCTGAACCAAGAGTTTGCAAATTCAGCGGCTAGGGCTACAGGATACAATCCCAGAGCACCCAAGAGACAGCAAGACATTGTGGAGAGTGAGTGAAGTCGGGCAGCAACAACAACAACAACAACAACAGAGACCACGTGTTTGATAGTGTTTTTGCATTTTTCGCTCTTAATTGTCTTTCCGCTCTTTGGTTGGAGGCCATCGCTACTAGGGTGGAGGCCATCGCTAGTATGTCTGCATGCACGGTTTCACCTCCATAGTCTCGTTCAGCATGTTTCTCTGCGTCCAGGTTGATGTGGATGTAGGGGATACCTTCCTTCAGAGACTCAATGCCAAGGAGAAAGGCCTCAATGGGTGGAATGGTTCTTTTCAGTGACCTTCTCAAAAAAGAGAGACAGGCATACCAGTATAAGAACTCAACATAACTGAACGAAGATTGCATCGTTTCTAGATGCACTGTGCATTGTTTGTGTTTGTTCTGACAAAGCTGGCTGCGTTGCCCTGTTTTTGCAGGGTGAAGTTGACAAAACATCGTACCATCGTCGTCGTCGACTTCGCAACGTCAGGGCGATCCAAATGGACCATTTTGGAGATCTACGACTACACCTGTTGGATGTCTTGGTTGTTTTGCGATATGCAAAGCATTTCGAAGCAAATTTTGGCCAAAGGCCGAAGCCAAAAAAATAACCGTTTTCGCGAACGAAGACCAGGTCCACATTGTTGGTATGCGGCCCGGGCCTCAGGAAGAGAGTCATGGAGGCTCCTCACGAGTCGGCATGAGCCGTCAACATTTCAGATCCAGCTAACGTTAAGGTTGGAGCAAGCATGATCAAGCTGAGTAATTTCCAGGTCGAACAAGTGCTTATAACATCTTATAACTATATATATATATATAGTACACCTTTAGACAGGAAATGGCTACTCGAGGTGCCTGTCTATACCCATGTGGCGGAAGCGTGGGACACTCAATCAGAAGAGGTGAGCACGTGAATGTCAACCGTCCTCCTTCGGGGCTGGATATTGTGCATCAGTGCATCAGGTAAATTTTATTAAATTTTCTTGGTGAAGTTTAAACGGCAGACGTCACTTCCTTGTTATGACGTGTTTCGTCCTTTTGATGTTTTTGTTTGCATTCATCGTATTGTCCAAGGTATTCAGGGACGCCCGTGCAGTTTACTTCCATCAACTGCCACATGAGATATAGCATGGAGGTGCCTTTGTGGACGCAAAAAGAATGGAGAGCTTCATGATGGCGCCCCTTTTTTCTTGTTGGTAGACAGTGGAGAGTCCATTCAAAACGCACCAGTCCACTGCTGAAGTGTTGTCTTCTGTGGGCTAGTGGTGCTTGTGTGCAGATTTGCTTTCTCCTCAACTCCATCGCACACATCAAGGACTGCCCAGAGGAATCAAGAGACCGTTGCAACAACCGCTGGAAGCGGCATTTTCTGTAGGACATTTTTGGGATCTGTGTATATCTGTGTGATTTTCAGTTTTTTTTTGAGATGATGGAAAGAAGATGAAGAGGGAACTCCTTCAACGACGCGTGCACAGCTTTCCTGATGCTGGTGGGTTGGCGTAATTAGGCTTGCGTAGGGTTGTTGTGTAGGTTGTTTTTGGAGTGCATGTTGTTGAGAAGACCTTGTCCAAACATGTTGGGTAGCTAGTAAGTGGGTCTAGGCCCATGCACCATACACACAGAGAGCAAGTTGAAAGCTGCAGGTGCTGCTCTCAAATCCAGCCATGCTTCTGGACTAGTTCACATGTCATTTGAGACAATCCAATGTCATGGACAGTGCAGTGCAGTGAACGGAATTCCAACTGATCAGCTGCTCCTTGACTTGCAAAAGGCAATTTGTTGCGTAGGCCATGCGTAGGCCTGTGTGTAGGAACATGAGCTCATGTTAAACCAGTAGTAGCCCGCAGACCCCACCCTGGTTAAGGCCCAAGTGCCTTGGTGGTGTGAGTGGCAGGTAACAGTAGGTTGTCGCTGCCGTCCATTGCAAAAGAGCTTTGTTCTTCGTGTTTGACTTGACTCTCAGAGTCGAGCTCACCGTCACTTTCCGGACCGCTTCAGCTTTTGAGTAGAAACAGAAGGCAATAACAGTTGGCAGTTTTTATTCTCGCCATTTGGCATTTGCTCGCGTAGCATCCCTGCGTGGGCCCGCGTAGGCAACCTTCTGCATGGTGTAGGCTATGCACTGCTATGCGTGGGCTGGTGTGTAGGTGCCTTTATAGTGAATAAACCTCCCAGCACCCAAAAAACACTGGCGCAAACCTTCGCATAGTGGATGGAGGCTTTGATAGGCTTCGGTTTTTGCTGGAAGATGTTTTTTTGGACTTCAATGCACGGCATGCTCTCATGGTAACTTTTTTGCTGTCGCCAGTCATGCGGCACTTGCACACATCGTGCCAGTCCTGAGCGACAATAGTTGTACTATTACCACTGCAGGTCCAGTGGCCAGTGGCAGGTGAGATGAAAAGTTCTTTGCTACGGAAGCTTGAGAATAGAAGACTTATTCGCTGTTGACACCAGGATTTCCCTTCCTTCGTAGCTTGCCCTCCTGGTGTAGAGGCGGGCTACTGTATCCATTGCGGCTTCAATTGACCCTAAGCATGTAAGGAGCTGTGCATTGTTGAAACGGCATAATAGCACGCATTCAGCATCTTACCGGTCTACGGGCTCTCCAGATTCCATGCAATCCTATTGAGGAATTGCAAAACATATGAACCCCTTGGACCCATTACAGTGAATTACAGCCTTCCTCACCGATTGCTGCTTGATCCCCCCACCCCGATGTCAAGGTGGATGCCGGTGCAGAGCTCCAGCAATTGACCCAGGCATGGTCAGATCCGTACAGGGACTAAGCAGGTGTTTCTGAAAACGACAAAAATGGATGGGTTTGCTTAAAAGGAGAACAGCTGGGCGTCAAGGAATCTGGGAAAGTGGCTCTTTTGATTGCATCCACAAGCATGAATCATTGTGGTACAGGCAGCCTTTCCCAGAAAATCCACTGTTTTATTTTGAATTTTAGACTCGAGTGACATGTCTTTGCTTTTGTTTTTTGAAGCAGTAATCTACTTGTGCCCGTGGACATGTTGTTATACGGTGCCACGGCTGTCCTAAAAGAGTTCTCCCAAGTGTCCCAATTGCAGCTTTCGCAGCTTTCCTAGTGCTAGGCGGCTCAACGCTTGGCCAGCAGACTGCCAGCTCAGAATCCGCCAGGGACGACAGCCGGGACGACGCCAGGTTTGATTCTTTTGTTAGTGGTAGACACTGATCATCAGAGGTTGCCACAAAGTGCGTACCACTTTGGCGGTGTGCACTGGGGGATATGAGCAGGTATGGACTTCGTAGACAAGCTGTGACAAGCTATACTATACTGTTCTTTGCGCCGAAACCACGGGGAGAATCAAAGTATACCCTTTCACTATGATGCAGTGCATCCTGTGGAATTAAGAGTCGGAGTCAGCATGTTGTGTTTCTTCCCGCGTCAACTTATTGTACGTCATGGCTTGTCTACCACATGTTTGCTCCTTATGCCAAGGACCCGCAAGACCTTGTTGAAGCAATGCTGGCTGACTTGCCAGCCGTTTCCTTTGACAGCGAGTTGGTGGTTGGTGACAGAAATTGTTTGTATATGTTTTGTTGGGATGCGGTACATCATTGCACGAGTCAGCCAATTGTCCTGCTCTCTTGCTTGTTTTCCGCGTTGGCTGTCAAATAGTTTCAGGATCTTCGTCTTGTTCGGCATCAAACATTTGTCGACGTCGTTGTGTTTCCATGTGTTTCCAGTGCCAGGCTAGCGCGTTGTCGGCACAAGTTCATAGAGGCGCGTTGTCGTCAACCGTTGTTCCCCCCTCGGAGGATGAGCGAGACTCCACCTTTTTGCTACCGCGTTCGAGTGCTTCCGGAAAACACACTCAGAAATTGGTCATGTTTGCATTTGCTTGTGGATCCTCAGTTGGATGATTTTGGCTATGGCCAAGAGAAGTAACTATATGATATATAACGTATATATAAATAAAGATCATAAAGGACACCGCACCCACAATCTTGTGGCAACCCGCAAACCGGTCGCCCGGCTGCCCGGCTCTTGGATCAACGTGTAAAACGTCGACTTGGTTCGCGCTTGTGGCCAGGATTCGGTCGCTGGCAAGGAGGAGCACCGTCGCGTGTCGAAGATGGACACCAGTTCTTCACGAGAAACCGCTGGAAGCTGCGTTATGTTTCTTTTTTTTTGCGTACAAAACGATGACATTGAAACGAAGTCACATTCAAGAGGATTTATGAAGGTCCACCAATGATTGAACATATACACTGCTGTGCAGTGAAAAACATGATTGGATCTTTAATCAATTGCTCAGAGGTACATAGAAACTGGCGAAATGTATGTAAATTCTCAATCATTGCTTTATGAGCAAATTGATATTGACACACAACACTAAGATCACAAAGCAGGTCCACTAAGTTGGCAGATTGTGTCTGTGTAGTTTGCCTCTCTCAATGATTCTCAGCGTTGTTTCAATTGAGTAGACTTTGAGAATGCACTTGTAACATAACAAGTGCATGTCTACTAGTATAACAAGTGCATCGCTACTAGTAGCAATAAGCTACTAGTAACAAGGGCATTGGCCATAGCTGAAATCTACTGTGACATCTTGAAATCGCCAATAGTGGCTTCTTGTTACTAGTAGTAATGCCTATGCTACTAGTAGCGATGTACCTTGCTACTAGTATACTCTGTGCAAATGACATGGGACCCTCCCAAACAGTTTTTGAAAATACAAACCGGGATGACATGGTACCTGGACAATGGGAAATGGAGGAATGTGCACATGACAAAGGAATAGTTACCATTGCCAAAAAATTGGCAAAACAGAGTGAAGACCCACATGACGTGGGAGTTGGGTAGCAAATGGTAGCAATTTTGCAAAGCCTGGTGTGAATATGGCACTCACAAGAAAAAGAAGTGAAGTAGCACTCGGGTGATGTCAGCATCTCTTTCTTCTAGATGGCACTCGCTAGGTATGTAACATGCAGCGCCGTGCTTGGCTTCCGGCGGTTCAGCCTGCCCCCATTTTCAAAGGGGGCCATGTTGGCCAATTCGGGGGAGGAAACATCAGACGGGACACCAATGACATAATTATTACTGTGGCGAAAGGAAATGAACAATAGAAAGAAACAGGCTTAAACTTTAAGCTTAAGGTTTGATCAATTCTTGGAATGAGTGCAAAATTGCTGGGATGCCGTCTGGACACATGTGGATGACATAGGACTTGCAACCAACCACTTCTGGTCTCCACATCGCACCAACAGCTCTTCACTATGGACATTTCTCGAACAACAAATGTAGATGACAATCTCGACCATGGAATCAACACTTAGCGTTTCACAAGAGAAGTGGTTGGGCCCCAAACCCTGTGTCGTTAGAAGATTGGAAGACAGATGCGGAAGGTGGGTGATCTCTGGCAACATGACATGGGACCCTCAACATCAAAATCCAAAAAGGATCAAAACTGCCACTGCTTACATATCAGCCGTTCATCGGAGATCACTCTTGCTTCAGCTTGGTAAGCTTTTCCAAATGAACTTGCCATTTGGGTGCATCTGGCGGTGCTGTTTGGATGTACACTTTGAGAACATGCCGTAAGATTTTTAGTAAACAAGCAAAGGGAGTCCTAGATTCATTCCACCTGCACGTGTGCCACGGCTCGCCCGGAAAGCGAGCTGACCAAAAGTTGCCGCTGGGATGGCGGGCAATGCCCAATCCAATCAAGACTGGCAAAGCTGTATATGGGAAGCTATCTTGTTCAGAAAGCTTTTCCAATTCTTGCCACTCCTCACTCAAGTGGTATTGCTTTGGGCGTCCTGAGAGTTGCTCTGCTGCTTTCTGTTCTTCCGCTGCTTTTTGCTCCTCTGTCTCTTCTATTGATTCACATATTTGGTCCTCCTCACTGCCGGCCTCGCTAACTCCGCTGCTGTTGTTTGAACCCATGTCATCGTTGTTTGAGTCCGAGTCCTCCTCTCGTTCCTGTCCTCCTCTGTCATCTAGATGCGCAGGCTCCACTCCTTTTGGCGCCTGCAATTCCTGACCCTCTTCTTCTTCATCCGTCTTTTCTATGTCCATCTCTTCTTCTTCATCGCCTTCATCGCCTGGCATTCGAGACCAAGACCAGTGATTGGGTCTACCCACCAGTGACCCAGAACCTGTCGGAGATAAGCGGAAAACAGTGCTACGGCGAGGGTACCAAGTCCCATGTCATGGTGTTTGTGTTTGTTTGGCTTTTGTCAACATGAGCATGTGTGCGCCACCAACCTGCATGGTATGCATCTTTGAGTAGATCCAAGCCGTTGGGGTTCTCCTTGGTGGAGATGTAGCGCAAAGCCTTCTTTGGATAGCTGGCCCCACTGATGAAATAGGTGACCTGACCAGCCGGGTTGCTCTCATCTAGCACTTTCATAGTGACGGTCAATTCCTCAAGATGCTTTCCTTTGGCTTTTGCCTGCTTTTCAGTGGCAAGTTGATGCGTCCTCTTGTTGTAAATGACCTGCAACTCACGATTGTTAATCTGTCGAAGCTTGTCTTCCCAGCTGCTTGGCTTTCGCTCAAAAAGCACTTTTCCTGGCAACTGCTTTTGATCGCATGAACCCATTTACAGTCCTTTGTCATGGCTCTACGGCCCTACCTCACACACACACAGCAAAATAGAAAAATCATTTCATCAATCCGTGCCAGTTGCGATCACGCCGGTGTTGGGCAACAACACGCTCGACACCGGTGGAAATTGCACTTGGCAACAAAGCATAGGAGCCATTTTCCAAGACCACTGCCCAATGCAACTTGTCCACGCTTGGTACTTGGATCACATCATTTGCCACCCCGCAAGCCTGTAGCATCCCTGTTGGGTCGAGTTCTTGAACTGCATTCTGGGGGTTCAGCTCTGGGAAATCATCCATAGTCTCAAAGTACCCACATGCCAGCCACGATGCAGCAAAGACCTTTTGAGGCCTTGGACAACATTCAATGCTGAAGCATTCCTTCAAATGACTCAGAACAGCAAACGACAGTATGACAAGGGACTCTTACCCTATAAATGAGGTCCCTACACACTCTTCCATGCCAACAGAGTCCTCTCTGCCAGCGATGCGGTGTTCACAGCAGGATGGCCTGGTTGCCCAGTCGGTTTTATGGGCATGTCCTGGTACCTCTTGCGGCTTCTGATGTCAGCACAGAATCCTGCTTCTCCACAGTCGACTAGGTCGAGCCGCCCCCGCAGGATGTGATGCAGTTGGTCTACTGGCTGGTTGCACGCCGACCAACCCCCGGGTTGGGGGGTCCGGCATCAACACATTGCAGAGGGAGCTCCACGCAGCCCGTGGCGCATCTTGTCCTGTTCCTTTCGCGCCGTAACCCGACCATGCATCCGCGAGCAGCATTCCTGGAGTTGAGATGCTGATGCCATATTTCTCCCGTTGGGCAGCATACGCGTGGGTGTAAAGATCCTGAAGGAGCACAACGAAGGTCTCAGCACACATGAAGTGTGTGCGCTTCTCTGAACAGAATAGCAGCGCTACTCCTTTGTGCTTGCTGTTGAAACGTGAGACTTCACTTTGCTTGAAGGCCCCCTGCGGATAGCAAATGCCTAGTGGGCCTGCTGAGCCGTCTGCCCAACTGCTTGTCATCACTGTCAAACTAGCACGATGACCGGGCACCACATCGTGGCGGCTGACCAAGCCGCCATGTTGCTTCTCTCCTTGGACTGTGATGACAAAGGACCTGAGGCCCCAAAGTGAAGCAAAACTAATTACCCGGAAAGAAGTGAAACAAAAACTTGCCGGTGTGCTTCCAAGTGAGTATCGATTGACCTTGCGCATCAAAGAAGTCTTTGCAAATCTCAAAGATTGTCGCCAGATCTGGTCAACGTTCAAAATTAAACGCTTGTCAACTCCTTGGGAAATCCGTGATTGGAGCAGGTTCCTTGACGCAACAAGGCGGGGGTCGTGAAACTCAAGGTAGGTCCCGCCAGTGTTCAGTGACTTCCGGCGCCAATAGAAAAGCTTGAGAAATCGGCGGCACCATCTGGATGTCAAAGTCGGGCACTCTTTTGGTATCGGAAGCATGCATTTTCTTATCGTTTCTCGCGGTGCTCCAATTGAAAGAAGCTCTGACGTGGTGACTTCATTGTGACGCTCCGCTCGCTCTATTGCACTAGGCAATCCAGCATTGTACTCTGTTGCTAGCCGGTTTGCTGTCACAACCTTGACACACCGACCCCGACCCTCCACCCTCTTGAGCGCATGACATAGGACCCGTGTGTGGTTGTGGGTGTAGTGTATGCGTGTGGGTCCCTCACCACCATCACCACTACCAAGACATACCATAAAGATCCATAAAGTGATTTAAAATAAACTTGATTCCTGAGTGTGGCATTTGCTACCTAAGTCCCGTGCAATGTGGCGTTGGAGAGCAATGTCCCTTCTCTGACACACTTTGGAAAGCCCTTCGCAATGCTCTTGAATGGCCGCATCCAACTCCTGAAGAACAAATGATCATTAATGTAGCAGCAAGGTCCCATGTCATGCAGGCATATAGTTCACACTACTTACATGGAGAAAAAACGATATTTGTCATCTGACCAAGTCCTTAAGAACCTCTCCAGGAATGTTCCATCGCTGCAGCTTGGACTTCTTGGAGATCACATCCCGAGCATCATCATGTGACAAAGCTTTCCAGCCCTTCACTGTACCGCTGAGGCCCAAAGCTTGCTTCATGTCATCGGTCAGTCCATACATTTTGCGCTGCTGAGATTCACTAAGACTGTGCCACTTTTGCTCCGATGCTACCTTGCGCAACCTGCATACTTTCAAGTTCCCAAGTCCAGAGCCAAATTTGATACGGCACAATTGCTGGATGTTCAGGCCACGCTTCTTCTTCCGTTTTAGAGGCATGTCCTCTTGCCTCAAAAAGACTGACAGTCAGGAGGGACGGTGATTCCCTGTGCCTCATGAAGATTACATTTAGGAAAAGTAAGCACGGGAACAAGGTGCAAAGTAGAAAGAATGAAAATGGTGCCAAGGCTAGAATGAAGGAAATCTTTGTGTCTCTAAGGTGCTTTGGCTCAGGATTCTTGCGCTTCTTGCCTCTGCTGATGGTCTTGTG